CCCCCCCAACCATAACATGATTTCCATTGCTACTTCATAACTAATTTTGCTACTGTTATCAATCAGGTAACCCCTGTGAAAAGGTCGTTTGACCTCCAAAGGGGTCACGACCCACAGGTTGAGAACTGCTGCTTTAAAGCGATCTCACCTCTGACAAAGGTTCTTACTGACATGAACAATGAGTAATTGACACTGATTTCATAAACAGAGCATTATCTTGTTGTCAGCAACAGTTTCATCCTAATTATATAAACTTAAGAGAGAAAAACAATAGAAGGGGGGAAAAAACCCAAAACAATTCAGCCTTTCCCTTTATCAGCCAGTTCTGTTCTTACTCTGATGCATAAATATTGTTCAATTGAGGTTATGTAAATTCTTTGTATATTAAAATTGGTCACCAAAGTGTTTTAGTTTAGAAATAAGGAAACATTCCAAATTGTTAGGAATCTAAACTGCAAAAGACCTCAAACTCACTGCCATCCAGCTGAGTCGAATCTGACTCACAGTGACCCTCTAAGGACAGGGTAAAACTGCCCTGCGGGTTTCCAAGCCTATAGAGAGTTCATCAGTGATTTCCAACTGTTGACTTTGTGGTTAGCAGCCCAAAGCATAGCACACTATGCCACTAGAGCTGCTCCAATCAAAACTTACCACTCTTTAATTCAGAGACCTTTAAGTTCACAGCTCTATCATTTAATGTCTATGCATAGGGCTCAGATGGTGCTGTGGCATGATAAAGTCTTTCTTGAAGGGCAAAAGTGACTCTGACCTAGGAGCTGGCAGACTACATCTTTTGCACTTCTATTTGGAATTTGACCTTAGGCAGGTCACTTTACATACTTAGTTTCTTCTATTGTAAAACAGGAAGGACTACCAATCACCTTGCCTTTTGGACTGTTATGAAGAAATATTTGAAAATTATGAAGTGCTATGCCAATACAAAAGTAAAATGTAACATTTTGAGGAAAGGTTTCACCTAATATTAAAATTCTGCTTTAATTAAGCAGCTAATCAAAAAGTTGACTTTCTGCTTCAAAGAGATTATTTTCAGCCCACAGCAAAATTCCATTGAATTAGAAACTGGAGTTATTTTTTCAAAGAACTTACTTCAAAATAGTCGCTAATTTTGTGGCCACGTCCCCCAATACTTTTTCCTAAAATTTAAAAGTAAAATAATTAATAGATTTTAAACTAGTCATGATCATACACTACATCAGAAAAAGAATGTGCTACACAATTTCCTTAGTACATGTAAACATTACTTAATGAAGATATGTAGTATTTTAGTTGGATAATAGGAATCTAAAGAATATTAGGAATGTTCAGAGGGTCAGGTATCATTTCAGAAATCCAAAAATCAAATGATATTTCAATAAAAACAAGTCAATTCTTAAAATTCCCAATTACTGGAGAATGAAATAAGATTAAGAAATCTCTTGCTTTAAAACAGCATTATTCACATTGTCTTAAGGCTATTAATTTCACAATAGCAAGGATATGAATAAAAAAGCCAAGTAGCAACTGTGTAATTGATAAACTAATTCCTACCTGTGAACAAAAAGTAAAGTTTTGGGTTACACAAGCCTACCTCTATGAAACTGACAATATTAAGCTTCCACGTGAAAGTTATTTTATAAACTGTTTTTAGTGAAGAGTGCGTCCAAATTAAAAACATTTTTATTAAACCGATCTTAAATATAGTTCTCACAAGATCATGTTGATAAAGTGAATACAAGGCCATTAAAGACCACTCTTCTTTTACTAAGAGTTTTACTTCTATTACAATGTACTCTTTATCAGTTTCATAGATATATTGAATTAAGAACTTGCAAAAAAGGTTGCTTTTTTGGGGGAGGGGGTATTTATTCTTATTTGGAATTACATAATTTATTTAAGTAGAGAAATTAATTGTTATCACCGAGTCAAATGCTGTACAATATAAACAGACATTATCAATTCAGTACTGTACTAATTCAAATTCATGCATTCAGTTATTTAATTCAACAAATATCTGTTTACTATGTGCCAGAAGTTACTGAAATAGCAAACAACATACTTAAAATTCAAGGTTAAATTTCTTCTTGGAACAGAGTAGGGTTTTTTTTAGAAAATCTAATTAAGTACTCAGAACTACAAATGCTATCTAAACCTTTGAACAATAGTTTTGTTTAGAGGTCAGAGAAGATTGTAAAGTTTTATACTGAGAGAATTCCTTTCTGCCTTCAACAATTTTTATGAAGATTCCAAAGAGTTGCTATTTTTCAACAAGGCATGGATTATTTTTGATTGCCTAGTGAGAAACCATGTTCTCAATTCTTCTTCCCTATGCCCAGATTTTGTTGTTCAGTCCACGTACTTCCAGGGAAGTTGACGATTCCTAAATTAGCCCGTTTGTAATTCCCTTAACCTTACCAGAAATCTATTTTTGTTTAAGTATCTTCCCTTTTCCCACACACCTCTTAATCCAAAGGAAAGTTGACTCCATCTGATATTCCAGAGGAGAGCTTGAATTTTTAGAACAATAACATATCCCTTGTATAGAATTGATTCTAGAATGGACACATGATCCAAAGCTGGCCAGTAAGAGGACAGGCAATGTGTACTCTGGACTTGTGGGAAAGAAGCTTCCTTGTTCTTTAGGAAATAAAACACAGAAAATCAACCTCTCTCTAGAACAAATATAAGTGAGAAAGCCGAACAAGTAAATCCCAAATATATCTGGCAGTCACCCTAAAACCATGAGATGATCAGACAATGCTGTGGCTACATACGGGGAGAAAGGGGAGATTGCCTCAAAGAGAGGGTGGGTATTTTGTTAGGAATCAAATATTAAGAGTCCTCAGAGAGTCAAATACCAACTCCAGAAATCCAATAATCAATTTCAAAGAAAGCATCAATTTTTAAATAAAGCAACCCAGAAGTCTCTCTGTATTTGAGCGACTGCTTTAACGTGAAATTTTAAAATCTGAGTTGCAAACATCACAACTAACATCTTAGAATAGATAAGGCTTCGAAAAGAAGCTCAACATACAACGAAATAAAGAATACCAAACAACTTTTTTTTAAAAAAGGCTCCATAAAGTGACCACCTTTCCTAAAAGGACAGTAGCTGAAAATACAAACCTTGACTCTACCACTGCCATATATAAATCAGGGAGACAAGGGTTCATGGGCTTAGACTTAAAACTTTAAAAATTGGCTTAACACATCACATAATTTACAACATCAATATTATATGTAATTTAAGAGCCTAATTTGTCATACTTAATTTATTAGTGCTCACATTAAATGACAGAACTATTTGGATGTCCAGTACATGTAATTTTTACATTAAGCTGAATGAAAATATTTTCATTAGCTCACATCACAAAGACAGTTAAGGAAGGATGTGGAAAGAACAAGATGGTGTTTTAAATAGATTCACCCTTAATCATTTTCATATAGCCCTTTTGAAATAAAAAGATGAGCAATAATTTAAGAACTTGTTTCAAAGACTGTGTGATACAGTGAACTGCTTGCTCTGGCCTTGTAGACACAGTATTTGAATTCCCATCCAGTGACTAGGTGGAACCATGCAAACACAATGAGCGGGGATTGGTTAATTGTGCCGCCCCACTGGGTTCAAAATGAAGCCACATTAAAGGTAAGAAGGGGGACCTTGCTACTCACAAAAAAAAAGAACAGTCAGGGGTGGGACACTACCTTTAAATGCGGATTATCTCTGTATGCCAAAACTCCTTAATCTAGGAGACAGAGGGGCTGTGACCAGAGATATAAAAGAGAAGCAGTGGAAGTAGCACTGACAACATGAGACGAAGCAGCAGCTCTGTGAAGTGAAGCTGAATGCCTTGCAGAGTGGGGGGTGCCTCTAGGCACTTAATCAAGGGAGCTAGATTTGCTGTCCCAGGAAGCTAGAGGTAAGCCCCTGGTGCCCTTTGGGTATTGAACACCAACACAAAGGAGCTATGTGCCTAAACAGGGCAAAGGATAAGCAGCCTTGTGGCTGAGAGATAGCGGACCAGATCCTGTGGGCATGACTGAGAAGAGGTGAGGTGAACGAAAGAAGCACACCCTTAACAGCACAGAACCTGACTTGTAACCTGTGAATTTCCTTAGTGAATCCCATAATCGTGAATATTGTCTATGAGTTGGGTGATCACTGCAATAAATTTTTGAACCCCACGGAGAAGCAGAGGGTGCCCTGAACGAACTGTTAGTTGGGTGGTGGTGTCATGTCTTAATTCTACCTCATAGGAATGTGCTTTGGGCTAATGATGAGTTTGATTCTCTTTCACCATTGTGAAGTCAAAGGACAGACACTGCCCTCATGCCATTCTTTTAGAGATTTAAAGATTTTATTAAAAATAAGAAGGTTTTTCAATACTAAAATTCATACAAAGAGAAACAATGAAAGGTGATAAGGTGATGTTTGCCAGATTTGGACACAATTTTCTTTCTAGGATTCAAAATAAAAACTTTTTTAAAAGGCAAGAAGCCCAAAAACAATAACCACAGGCGCTACCAAAAAAATTTGCTTTTGCTTTATTATTTATTATACATAGGGCATTCCTAAACGGAATGTACTTTATCAACAATGGAGAATTAACAAACTAGCTATGTTGCTATTGCTAGGTATGGTCAAGTCAGCTCGGATTCTTCGTAACTTTGTTCCGTCCAGCAAAAAGAAAGCGAGCCTGGCTCTACGCCACATACACCACTGTTATGTTTGGGTCCACTGTTGCAGCACGGTACAATGACAATCCATCTTGCATGGGTCTTCCGATTCTTCGCTGCCCCTCTACTCTACATGGTGTCCTTTTCCAGAGACTGGTCTCTCTTGATATATTCGTTCTTTGAGTAGTCTATGGTATTTTCAATATTCCTTGTTGACACTATAATTCAAATGCATTAATTCTTCTCTGGTTGTCCTTATTCACTGTCCAGTTTTCACATGCATAGGAGGCAACTGAAATACTATGGTTTGTGGAAGGCACACCTTATTCCTCAATGTAGCATCTTTACTCTGTTAACACTTCAAATATGTAATTACTGAACAAATTTACCTAATGCAGTATGTCTTATTATTTATATAATAAGAGTTATAACCACTGCTATCGAGTCAATTCGGACACATAGTGGGCCTATGTGGACAAAGTACGACTACCCCAGAGGGTTTCCAAGAACGTCAATTTCTACAGAAGCAGACAACTTCATCTTTCTCCTATTAGAGCAGTTGTGGGCTCAAGGTGCTGGCCTTAAGGTTGGCGTGCCAAAGCATAACCACTGCACCACCAAGGTTCTAATAATGGTTATAAGCACAAAACACAAAATTGCAAATTTTATCATTAAGATATTAAGTAAAACTCATGTACTGTTTTAAAGAGAAATTTGATTTCACTTACCCTGACTACTTTCATTCTGGCTTTCTGCTTTTCTCTTTCTTCCCCTGGATGATTCTGAGTGCTTCTTCTCTGGTGTCTATAGAAAGCAAGTTAACAGCATTTGAAATGACAGTTTTAACACACAAAATCCTACAGTCGAAAATGGTTTTTGCTCTTTAGTGCTGATGGGATTTAAATGTTTAGTTACTTACACGTAACTTTATTTAAAAGGTAAACTTACTATTATGTAATTTTTAAAAATCCAAGTATACAAGATCCTGTACATATTACCTGAAATCCACATTTACGGAATTGACTTCAGGCAGATGAAAATTCAGAACATAATCAGCCTTTAAAAAGAGCCCTTCATATTCTGAGTAGTTTGAGGATAGGGAGAGGTTACCTTAAATTTTTCATATTGGCTTTCTACAAGTTACCTATTTCGTTTTTAAGAAATAAACTCAAGTGAGAAAAGACAGTAGAACAAAACTCTGAAATATAAAATACCTGCTAAAGACGGCCATTCATCTCAAAGCCTGGCAATTAATATCCATCACTAATTAAAGCAAACTTGTTGTTTATTCCCAAGAATCAGTAGTGTACATAAGTTTTATTAGAACAGTCACACTCATCATTATGAGATGTACTGTCTATAGCTGCTTACAATGCCACTTAATGTTGAGTAGTTGCATGAGAGACTGCACAGGCTATACCGTCTAAAACAGTTACTTATCATCTGGACTTTACAGAAATAGGAGCCCTAGTGGAGTAGGGTGAAGTAGTTATGAATTGGGCTGTGATCTGCATAGCTGGCAGTTTGAAACCACCAGCAGCTCCTGGGGATAAAGACTGGGCTTTCTACTCCTGTAAACAGTTACAGTCTCGGAAACCCACAGGAGGTCTCTGTGAGTCAGCAATAACTCAATGGCAGTGAATCTGTTTGTTTTTAACTTTACAGAAAGAATTTATGGGGCCTGATATAGGTGGTAGTTCTATTCCCAAATTACAAGTTTGCTCCATTAGCTAATAGCAAATGTTTTCATCAAGCTATTAAAAGTAGTTTTTGTGTACTCAGATTGATGTTTTGTTTAATCAAAAAACTGCTACAGAGCTGAAGCTATGACATAGGGCCCACATATTCAAGAAAAGTAAGTACTGCTAGTGTGTCAGATCCTCCCTAAATGTAATAGGAAAGGCCCCCGAAATATCTGAATGAACAAATGATTGGAGGACTGAATCACACAAACTCACTGTCATTCAGTCACTTCAGTCTCACAGTGACCCTAAAGGACAGGGTAGAACTGCCTGTTAGTTTCTTAGACTAGAAATCTTTACGGGAGTAAAGCCTTGTCTTTTTCCCATGGAACAGCTGGTGGTTTCAACTACTATCCTTATGGTTAACAGCCCAACAAGTAACCTACTACACTACCAGAGCTCCTTGAATCATATACTTAAATTTCTTAAAACATATAGCTCCCAAATAAGAGACGTAATTCAAATATCTGATCTCTGAGCGTTTTATGACTAAATAGTATGAACACCAATCATAACATACACTGAATATTTATTATTTCTCTAAGGGCCCTTACTGGCACAGTGAATAAATACTTCATAGCTACTAAGTGAAAGAATTGTTGTTTTAACCTACCAACTGCTCTGATGGAGAAAGATGTGGCAGTGATTATAGTCCAGGAAACTGTATGGGGTAGTTCCAGTCTGTCCTATAGGGTCACTATGAGCCAGAATCTACCAGATGGCAGCAAACAAGATTTCCATAGGAAATTTTATACCATCTTAGACATTTTAAGTTCTCTCGCCTATATTTTGCCAGTAACATATTCAGAAAGGATAGAGTGACTATTACCTGCATCTGAAATCTTCAATAACAAGAGTTGTAATTTCTACCCCCTACACAAACACACACACACACACACACACACACACACACTACCTACAAGTGGCATATAGTTATTACTTAAAAAATACTATTAAATTTAATAATGACTATTAAACAGCTTATTCAAGGAAAACCTGTAGGGATGGCACTCACAGTCAGATCCATTTATGTATAATTCCAAGGTCCAAATGCTCTTTTATTTCTATATGACACAGTATACATCCTATAAGATCTACCTGAGTGAATCGATTACATAAAATACTTCACATATTTTCCTGTTTTGAAAGAAAATTTATCATGTCCAACAAATTGAGTATGTAATTTCATATCACAAACTAGAAATCTTAAGAAACCCATCCTAATTAGCAAGTTACTCTACTTAAGAGGAAGTGTTCACTTGTTTCATTTCATTGTCAAAGTTATCAAACTCCAACTTATACAACAACGAATTTTCTATTTGCCCAAGAATAAAACATTATCAAGTAAAAATTCTAAGTTAATATATGTACAAAGAACTCTCAATCTACAAAACAAAGATTCTTAAAGAATAATTAGTATCTTTCCTAAATTAATCTGTATAAAATAATTTTCCATTTCATGTCACTGATTACATTGTTCACAATGTAACATAACATGTCATTTCCTCCCAGTGTTTCATGTTTCCATTCCTCCTACTCCTTAAAGAGCTCTGATAAGTACACTTCAGGTCTGAAATGGTTGATTGTTCTAAGGAGTGCATACCTCCCTACCATTACTGGGCCCCTTATAGACCGGTCTATTGTTTAGCTGAAAATTGAACCATGGGGATAAGTTCAGTTACAGACCAAGAGTAGCTAATGGTCAGTCGCCTGGGTTCCACCAGTCTCTCTGACCATTAAGTCTGTTCTTAAAAATATGCAATTTAAGATCAAGAAAGAGTGATTTTACAGAAGTTTAATACTACACCATTTTTAAAATATGGCAAGATTCCATTTGAATTCCTTCTTAAATCTTGATTAGCTAAATAAATGTTTGAATAAATAATAAGACCACACTAAATATTGAAATTCTGAAATAGTTTACTGGAAGCATTTTCTATATAGAAAATAAAGTATAATGTGCTAAATGCTCCCACATTATTTTCTAAAATATAATTCAAAGAACACCGGTTCAGTGATTTGCTGAGAAACTACATTTAAAACAGTAATGCGGTATGCAGTAGGCTGCTAATTGGCAAAGTCAGCAGTTCGAAACCGCCAGCTGCTCCTAAAATGGGACTTTCTACTCCCATAGACTTACAGTCATGGAAACACACAGGGCTAATTCTACCCTGTCCTACAGGGTCGCTAAGAGTCGGCATCAACCCCATGGCAATGAGTTTGGTTATGGGTTTGGTCTATGTATACAGATAAGGGATAATTGTTCACATAGCAAGCATTTTATATAGAACATTTTCAAACTTATTAATGCTCCCTTTAATATTGTAACATTTTTCTTTTATCTATTGTTTCTCAACTACTGTACTATAATTGACGACAGTAAGAATTAATATAATATATAAGGCAAAATAATAGAATTTGGTTTCAAAGTAATGATGGAACAATACAGGAAGGATGAAAGTCAAAGAATTCCAATATATGGTGAAACAGCAGGTAAGAGAAAACAGTGAAAGACTAGTATTCTTTTTATCACTGTAACTGCATAAATGCTAGATTTGTCACCATGTTCAATGCCTGTATTTAAATGTTCCAAGATATTGGTGTGAATTTACACAGAATTTTTCAGTAGTTTAAAACTTGTTCAAAAAAACAGACAAACTAAAAAGATTAAGAAATAACCAAGATATAATTAAAAATTCCAATTTTATCTGGAATTTAAGCTAATGATTATTAAACAACATTTTAATATCTAATCATGTGACTTCTTAGTTTATCTTAAAAATAAGCTTTCTTCTGTCCAAATAAAACCAACTGTAAGAAAATCAAGAACCTTAATGCTGTTGTAGAAAAAGGGAAAAAAATCAGTATGGAATATTCCAAAGAAAAATAAATCAACCTCTATACAAGCCTGTACCTAGAGATATTTAGTTATCTGCATAAGTGTATTATAGAAAAATTTAAAAGGATACAATCATTTTAACATTAATTGAAAGAGTGGATATTAAAATGTCGTTTTCACCCCTACTTAAATAAACTACATAAGCCTCAGATGAACAGTTAACAAAAGAAAAACTGAGATATCAAAATGACTATTTAAAATTTCTTTGGTTAAATGAAAAAAATATATATTTTTAAATAAAGTTACTCTAAGAATAATAAACAAAATCCTCTGCTACAGTCGATTCCAATTCATAATGACCCAATAATGAGATAGAATGTCACACTGTTCTCCTGTACAGCAGCTAGTGGATTCTAAATGCCAACATGTAGGTTAGCAAGAAGCCACTTTAACTACTGCACCATTAGGACTCTAGAGTAAACATCCCTAATAAACACTCCGTCCTCAAACTTGTCACAATGATTTTTGTTTTGGTAGAATCGTTCAGTCCAGGATTTGTTTCAAAACTATAGCTGACTATTTCAATGATTTATATAGTTATTCAAGTATCAGATTCAGGGTCACTGCGATTTAAATAAATGGTATGACAGACCTTTTTGCCTGCAGCTAACAATAACTATGTTCAACTTTTAGCCATATTTCTAGGCAAAATTCATTGAACTAGATATGAGATGGGAAATGCTGGAAAAATACCTTTATTACTTTAATGGCACTTATCAAAACAGTACTGAATTGGAAAGAAAAATCTGGAGTGTTATAAAAAAGTCAATATAAAACAGATGATCTTTTCAAAACATTAAACACATATGTTACTGTTTCCAACCTTTTTTTAAATTTTATTTTTTAATCATTTTATTGGGGGCTAGTACAACTCTTATCACAATCCATACACACATCCACTGTGTCAAGCACATTTGTACAATTGTTGCCATCATCATTCTCAAAACATTTGTTTTCTACTTGAGCCTTGGTATCAGCTCATTTCCTGCCCTCCCCCCCACGAACCCTTGATAATTTATAAATTATTATTTTGTTGTGTCTTACACTGTCCATCTCCCTTCACCCACTTTTGTGTTGTCCATCCCCCAGGGAGGAGGCTATATGTAGATCCTTGTGATGTTTCCCCTTTCTACCCAACCTTCCCCTTACCCTCCTGGTATCGA